TATTTTAGTAAATAGTAATTGCTCTTTATTTTTTTATTTTTTTTATTTTTTTAATTTTTTTTTTTTCAACGTTTATTTATTTTTGGGACAGAGAGAGACAGAGCATGAACGGGGGAGGGGCAGAGAGAGAGGGAGACACAGAATCGGAAACAGGCTCCAGGCTCTGAGCCATTAGCCCAGAGCCCGACGCGGGGCTCGAACTCACAGACCGCGAGATCGTGACCTGGCTGAAGTCGGACACTTAACCGACTGCGCCACCCAGGCGCCCCAGTAATTGCTCTTTAAAATTATTTGTGTGTGTGAGGTTACAAAAGTAATATGAACTCATGGCACAAGCCTGAAACAATATAGAAAAAGTAGAGGAAAGAAAACACTTTTGCCTCTACTTAATAATCCATGGCAAAGAGATCTGTCATTGCCCTTTAGGGAAAATTCAGACAAGACTCCAGTTTTCATGCAGTTAGGGACTGGGGTTTAAGATAGCTAATCCATCCAGTCACTCTCTGCACTAGATTTCAATCAGTTGAGAAATACAAAGTACCTGAGAAGGAGCCACTATGGACTTTATTATTTTAAGGTTGGTTTGGAGACCTGAGATCAGCAGGAATTCTCAGGCCCTTCACTGGCCTGGTCACGGGCCAGCAGCTGGGCCATCAGAAGGGAGCAGGCAAGGGCTGGGCCCGCCTGGGGGGAGGAAGCAGTGGGCAGGCAGACACAGGCAGACTCTGGCAGAGAACAAGAGAAAAGAAAACCATTTAGGTGTCAACCCTGATGCCTAGGGAAATGAGAACAGAAACACTGGATGATGCCAGATTGATTCGCGTCTCCTGTCCAGAGAAGGCCAAGGAAAGGGGTGAGAAGCAGGCAGCAGTGACTTTTCCCTGGGAGGATGAAAATCTGTTTCCTGAATCAATACACGGACAGGAAGAGAAGCAGGACGGGTTCCTGTGACAGAAAGCAATTCAAATAGGTGAAATGAACTTGTTTGGTTTTGACTGTTGTTGCTGTTCTAGATCTTGCTGGGATCTTCATGGATTCGCTTGCTGCAGCATACACAAGGTTTGGGTTTAATCTTTTCCAAAAGCTGAATAAGACAAAAGATGGCAACATCTTCTTTTCCCCCGTGGGCATTTCAGCTGCCATCGGCATGCTCGTCTTCGGGACCCAAGGAGCCACCCCGGCCCAGTTACGGAAGGTAAGGAAGCTGTCCAGGCAGGCTCGTCTCTGGAGGCAGCCCTCCGGCATTACCCTGAAATGGGGCTAGGCAACAGAAAATGCACGTGAAGGCACAGGGCAATTGCAGTCTATGAGGGAAGTCCTCCTCCCTCTCCAAATATCGCCAAGCCATCTGCTCCCTGGTGCTTGAAATTCCTTTGAGGGGGTGCTGAGTGAGTGGCCTTGTCCAAAGTCTTTAACCTCATTACTAAAGACACAGCATGAAGAACAAAACCTACTGGAAGAAGTTGTGTAATCCCCACTAGCCTATAAATGACGCATCAAAGATCAGTACATGAAAGGATTAACCAATGTAGGTGAGATCAATGGGCAATCCAGACCTGTGCATGATTTTGCAAGGAGAGAAATGCTACCTGTCTACCACTGAAGTTTCTTGAACAAACATTCAACACCCCCGGACTGATTCTATGTGAGGGTTTCTCTATTCTGACCACAACCATAATATTTTCTGTCCTTCCAGATGCTCTCTTCTGAAAAAGAGGCAGGGAACTCAAGAATCAAAGCCGAAGAAAAAAAGGTGAGGAGATATGTGTTACAGTCTTCAGTAAGTCTGCTTTGTTGATATGGGCTCCCTGGGAAAATGTGTAGGAGGGGTAATAGTTTATGCTTGTTTTTAATCACTGCAGCCAAGTAGGGTTGCTGGTATTATATAGTAACAAACCCTTAATATTAAGAGAAGATTTTAACTTTATTTTAAAAAATTTTTTTAATGTTTATTTCCTTTTGAGAGAGAGAGAGAGGGAGAGAGAGAGAATGAGTGCAAGAGAAGGAAACACAGAATCCGAAGCAGGCTCCAGGCTCTGAGCTGTCAGCACAGAACCCAACACGGGGCTTGAATCCACGAACCGCGAGATCATGACCTGAGCCGAAGTCGAATGTTTAAACCGACTGAACCACCCAGATGCCCCAAGAGGAGACTTTAACTTTAAAGCACCTTGACCACTCCAATGTAAATATGCATGGACTGAAAAGTCCCTACGGTAGAGTGAATGGGTTTAGGAGTTAAACAGATTTGAGTTCAAAGCCTGACCCAGTCACTTAACCAGCCATGCTACTTTGGGTAAGCTATTCATTTTCTTTGAGCCTCTATGAAGTATCCAGTGGAGGTCTGGAACATACTGCTGACTCACCCAGTAATAATGGCGGTAGTAGGTGATACTATCACTATATTCTATTTTTACTTTAAGCTCCCTTGCTGATATTTTACATTAACGATGTATTAGCACAGGACCAATGACTTCTTAGGGTCACTTCTGGCTCTAAGGTTGTAGTATTGCTCCTCAAAGGACAATCTGCTCGAACATGGGGAAGTCCAGAGGTCAGGGCTGGCATCTGGGGATGGTTAGAGCTCTCAGGGTGGGGGAAGGCACATCTACCCTGACAGTAGTCATGGTTCGGCACCAGATGCTCATAAAATCATGGCTCCAATCACCCAGCAATCCGAGCTGTTCATTTCACAGTCCCACATGGCCAGGTTGTCTGGTTGGCTCTGGGGCATATGTGGAGAGTCAGGCTTCCTTACAAAGTTTGTGTAACAGAACTGGGTCAGATAGCTGCTCCACTGTCCACTTGGCCACGGAGCACAGCTGTTTTCAGAGCACTCTCCCTCCCAAGCATGGTAGCCTGGACAGAATCTTTGCAGGAATTAGAAAAAGGAACGCCCCCTTGGGGGGTGACGGTTGAATTTCAGCTTTGTGCAGGGCACAACCTGTACAACTCTGCATAGCAACTCTGTCCACCCCTCAGGACTTTTCTGGGACCCACAGAAGCATGAAGGAGAATAGAATTACTGACTGAAAGGACATTAGGACTGAGGCATGTCTTGGAGGCTACATGCTCTAATCTCCTCTTTCAATAGATGAGAAAGCAGATGAGTACAGTGATTTGCTCAAAGACATGCCAGATGCACATTTCATTATCACATAAACTTAAGAGTATTCTGAACCTTGCTTTTAAAAATTGAAGATAAAATTTTAAGATATCATGTACAAAAGGTATTAGGAATTCTTATACACTTCTGCAATTCTGAATAATGCAATTCTGAATACCTTTTAACTCTCCCTTCTAGTGTAAGAAATAAACTATTGAGGGGGCACCTGGGTGGCTCAGTCGGTTGGGCGGCCGACTTCGGCTTAGGTCATGATCTTGCAGTCTGTGAGTTTGAGCCCCGCGTCGGGCTCTGTGCTGATAGCTTGGAGCCTGGAGCCTGCTTTGAATTCTGTGTCTCCCTCTCTTTCTGCCCCTTCCCCATTCACACTGTCTCTGTCTTTCAAAAATGAATGTTAAAAAAAATAATTAAAAAAAAGAAATAAACTATTGACAAATTAGCTAATGCCCCCAAGTACTTTCCTTGAAAACATTCCCAGCCTTTCCTGAAAGAAGTTCCACTATCCTGAACTTGGTGTTTGTTATTTCTGTATTATTTCATTGCATGTATTTTTTTTTAATTTTATTATTCTTTGAAACCTCATTATTTTGGGCTCAGGATTGTATTTATAAGATTCATTTATTTTAGGTGGATACTTGTAGCCATTGATGATTCATTTTCATGGCTATTAACCCATTGATCCTGTTCATAGGTGATTTCTTTCTTCCTTGCTTCCTTTCTTCCTTCTTATTAAAAACAGATGACCCTTCTTATACAAGCCTTGTAGTTTCCCTGGATGACAGTCTCTCTAGTCCTGAGCTTTCAAATATGGTAGCCACTGAATTGGCTATAGAGTATTTGAAATATACCTAGTTCAAACTGAAAGGTGCTGTAAGTGTCAAATATACATCGCATTTCAAGATCTTAGTATGAGAAAATAATGTTGAAGGAAAACTGTTTTACTACTCACAAAACTTCTAACACCAAATGTGTGAGTTTCCTTATATTAAACAATTTTGACACTAACTGCATGAAGTCAGTGCAGACCCCACATGTTGAAGAGCTCCATTCCACAAGACTTGCCCTACTTCAGATGCTAATTGCAAGGAAGTAGGTTCCCAGATTATTCACACTTCTGCCCAACTTGGCTACAAATCAGAGGATCCCATTACCCCCTACTCAAATTTGATAATTTTCTATAATGGCTCACAGAACTTAGGGAAAGACTGGTTTCTTGTAAAGAATACAAACAAATAGCCAGATGAAGAGGTATATAGGGTGAAGTCTCAGGTTTTCCCAAGAGTTTGGGGTGCACCACCCTCCTAGAACATGGATGTGTTCACCAACCCAGAAGATCTTTAAATGCTGTAGTTTAGGGATTTTTATGAAAGCTTTATCATAGAGGCACTTTCAGTGATTAGCTCTACCTCCAGCCCCTCTCCTTTCCCTGGAGGATGGGAGATGGGACTGAAAATTCCAAGCTTCTAATCATGGTTTGGTCTTTTCCGATGACCAGCCCCCATCCTGAAGTTGTTAGAACAACAGATGCCCCTATCACCCAGGAGATTCCAAGGAATTTAGGGGTTCTGTGTCAGGAACTGGGATCAAAGAGAAAATATCAAAAGAAAAGATGCTTCCTAGCACCCAGGAATTTGTAGTCAGCAAATTACAAGGTTTAGGAGCTCTGTGTTAGACACCGGAGAAACAGACCAAGTATACATTTTTTTATCATGTCACAGATATAAAACATCTTGTTAATTTTTATATATTATTTTTGTTGAAATAATATATACTTGTATATTTATATATATATAATTATGTATTATAGTTATGTCAAAATGATGTTCTAGATATATTTGGTTTGATAAAATATAATACTATGTTTGATTTTATCTGCTTTTTACTTTTAAGAATGTAGTCACTAGAAAATTTAAGATTATATATGTGGCTGGGGCGCCTGGGTGGTTCAGTTGGTAAAGCATCTGACTCAAGAAATGATCCTGAGGTTGTGGGATCAAGCCCCACATCAGGCCCCATGCTGAGTGTGGAGCCTACTTAGGATTCTCTCTCTCTCCTCTGCCCCTCTCCCCCACTCATGCTCTTTCCCTCTCTAAAATAATAAAAACTTTTAAAAAAAGATTATATATGTGGCTCACATTTGTGGCTTGCATTATATTTCTATGGGGCAACACTGGTCTATAGTATGTATCTGGAAGGTAGGGTGTATGTATGTTCAACTTTATTAAATATCACCAAACTGTTTGCCAAGGGGATTATACCAATATCTGTACCACTTGGCAGTGTATATTGGCCCATTTCATACAGTTGTACAGAGAGAGTGGGACCTGAAACCCCACTGGCCTTGAAGTCACCAGTCATTGATATTCAGGGATAGTTGACCCTTGAACAACATGGGGTTGAATGGCACAGGCCCACTTAGATGCAGATCTTTTTTTTGATAAATACAGTACTGTAAATGTATTTTCTCTTCCTTATGACTTTCTTAATAACATTGTCTTTTATTGAGCTTACTTTATTATAAGAATACAGCATATCATATATATAACATATATATTGTTTTGATTTTGAAGATTGAGAAGACAGAAGAGATACATCACCAATTCCAAGAGTTTTTGAGTGAGATAGGCAAATCCACTAATGGTTATGAACTAAGAATAGCCAACAGGCTCTTTGGAGAAAAGACATACCTCTTCCTTCAAGTAAGTTTAGCTGTATCCACCACATCTGTGAGTGGTATTCACGAATGGCCTATGGCCCATTTAGGACTGTGGGTCCTGGAGGCATACTGCCTGAGCTGACTGCCTGGCTCAGTCCACATCACTGGGTGTCCCCCTGCCTGTTCTCCAGACATTCAGACCCTTTGGGAGCTTCTTTTTAATTCTGGCAGTCTAAATCTGCTTTTTGCCTTAACCCTATTGTACCTGCCAAAAACGTGCCTGGAAGTACTCAGAAGTGATTTTCCCAGGTCCTAAGACACCCTGATAACAATGTCAGCCATCTTTAATGTACAGACACATTTTTAGAGATGTTGGAAATGGATAAACTGAATTTCCTTTTTTCAAAATAAATTGAATTTTCAACCTCCTTCTATTCTTTCCCTGTTCCTCCTAAAGAAATACTTAGATTATGTGGAAAAATATTACCACGCTTCTCTGGAACCTGTTGACTTTGTAAATGCAGCAGACGAAAGTCGAAAGAAGATTAATTCCTGGGTTGAAAGCCAAACAAAGGGTACAGTATGGATGGGTCATTCATCGTAAAATGCTTCTTGAGCACCTGCTCTGAGCTGGACACTCATAGGGTGCCAGGGTGCACAAGCCTTTGGGGGGTTCAGACTTGAGATAAGTTTGTTAGGGTTAGAAGGGCAGGGCTGGGCATGAGGAGTGGGAGAAGACACTACAGAGAGCGGAATAGTCTCAGTAAATGGGAGAGAGCCAAGGGGGGCCCCAGGGAGGGACCACAGGAAGCCAGCTCCATAACAGAGAATGATTTGAACATGGCTGTGCCTCACAGTATCTTCGGGACTCCTGAAACTGGACCCGTGTCTGTGTTGGGTTCACATCTTTTCCTTTATATGAGAGCCTTTCTTTCTTAGTCTGGGTCTGTAAGAGGAAATGTCATAGAGTGTCTCCTTTCTCTTGTCAAGTGAGAGACATTTAGCTCTCCTCCCACCAAGATCTTTATGGCCTCCAGCTGGGGCTGCCTGGCCTTCATCTCCACTAGAGCATCATGCTGGGACGGTGACAACTTTCAGCCCCATCCTCAGCACAGAACTTGACAAAGCCTCACTTCATGCTCTCTCCTTATCCCCTAGTACGAGCCAAACACACAAGAAATACCAGAGAGGACTATTTAATATGGAAATACACTTGGGGGGGGGGGCAATAGCTGATACTTTAGTGTTAGAATTTCAGAATACATTTTTTAAAATTCCAGTTATCAGGAAGACATTATTATTTCACAATACAATTTTTCCATCTTTATACTTAGACCAAAAAATAAAATAAAATTTGAAGAGCAGGAAAAAAGGAGGGTCTATCAAAGGGTTGAATGATGGCAATATTCTTCAGAATTTAGTGTGGGAGGGGCTAAACCCAGAGACAAAAACATCAGTTTCTTTTCTAATAATATAATAAATCCTTAAGTTTCGGGTGGTAACTATATCAAATGGGTAAAAATAATAGCTTACACTTACTGCGTGCTTCTTATGAGCTGGAGAGCGCTCCAAGTGCTCTACACATATTAAGTCATCTACTCCTCATAACCACTCCACAAGGCAGGTTTTATTCCTGTTTTGCAGATGTGGAAACTGAGGCACAGCAAGCTTATAACTTGCCCAAGATTCCTCAACTGGTAAGAAGCAAAACTGGATGCTAACAGAGGTAGTCCGGTCCCAGAACCTGAACGCTTAACCTCGTACTTCAATTTATCCAATGGGACACATGGGCTGTGGGCAAAGCGAGGGCCTCCCTACAACCCTGCCAGCAAACCCTTTGTCGGCAAGGCCCTCAGGTGCTGGCCTGGCTGAGTTTTTAGTGACGAGTCAAGTCCACCTTCATCATATCTGCCTTGCCTAGCACTTGTGATTTTGAAGATGGGCCAACTTTGTTGTTGTTGTTGTTCATTTGCAGAAAAAATCAAGGACCTGTTTCCAGATGGTTCTCTAGACAGCTTCACCAAGCTGGCGCTGGTGAACACAGTTTATTTTAAAGGGCAATGGGACAGGGAGTTTAAGAAAGAAAATACCAAAGAGGAAGAGTTTTGGCTGAATAAGGTATGGCCCCTAATTTATTTATGTGATGTGTTGACACGTGGAACGTACAACCTAAAGCCCTACTTGAGCAAATGAACGTGGTAGACAGCAAATACTGACTGGAGGCCCTGATCTTTAGCACTATTTTTGGGGGAGCCAATCACTTTGGTGGGCGAACCTGGCTGTCTTCCGCCTCCTCTGACACTGCACGCTCTATTGCTTTGTTGCAGAGTGTGAGCAAATGTGTGCCAATGATGACACAGACCTGTACCTACAGCTTCACTTTCCTGGAGGACTTACAAGCCAAGATTCTGGGAATTCCGTATAGAAACAATGACCTAAGCCTGTGTGTGTTGCTGCCCAATGACACAGATGGCCTGGAGAAGGTAACACCTTGCATCTCCCCAGTCTTGCTTTCATCTCCTGAGGCTTTGTGTCCCAAAGCTTGTTTCTGGGTAAGCTTGGAAACAGGACTACTGATCTGGAGCTGGTGTCGAGCAGACACTGTTCCTTACTCTGTGCAGCAGCTACAGACGGATGTCTAAAAAGGGGCATTAAGCAGTATCGGGTTTCCTGAAAACAACCAATACCGAAATAGTTGGGGATGAGCGAACACGAACATTTAAGGTCATACGGGAGTTCCAAAGATCAGTGACTATTCTGAGAAATGGTTGATCTCTATGCACCTTTTCCCCAGAAAAGAACGGCATTTGCACATACAGCAAATTTTACATCCTGTTCAGTAGGCTATTAGACTTCCTGAATTTCTTTCTTGGAACTTTAATTTCTTTTTATTTGTTTTAAAAAAATTTTAAGTGTCTTGATTTATTTTGAGAGAGAGGGCACAAGTGGGGGAGGAACAGAGAGAGAGGGAGAGAGAGAGAATCCCAAGAATCCCAACAGGCTCTGCTGTTAGCATAGAGCCCAATGTGGGGCTCTCAGACTCATGAACAGTGAGATCATGACCTGAACCAAAATTGTCAGTCGATCGCTTAACTGACTGAGCCACCCAAACACCCCTAATTTCTTTTTAAAGATTTTATTTTATTTTTTTTTTGGAGCAGTTTTGGTTCACAGCAAAATTAAGAGGAACGTACAGAGATTTCCCATTTCCTCCCTGCCCCCACATACACAGTCTCCTCCATAATCAACATCACTTACCAGAGTGGTAATTTTTTTAATCCAAAGATGAACCTCCATTGACACATAATAATCGCTCCAAATCCATAAGATCTTTAATCTTGAACCCTTTGATTTAGTCCCCCTTGATTTAAACCTAGTCTAAGATAGCTCCAAAAAGAGGTCCAGTACATGGAAAGAACTTGATAAGTGATGGATGCTGTATTATTATGATACTAGATGCTGTTCTCTGGCTGTGAAACATCTCTAGCTGCTTTGCATGTTGGAAAAATTTGGGATAGCAGAATGGCAATATGTATGAAAGCTTTAAGAGTATTCATACTCTGACTCCAAAATTCCAGTTCAGAAGAAACAAAATTGCCTTTCTGAGTCAAATCAGTAATTTCTGCATTAAATATACTAAGATACCTAGTTCAAAATTCATCATCACCATCATCATCATCATCATCATTGCTATTTTCAGATCCACAGTATCTATCAGCATCTATCATGCTGCATACTTACTAGATGATTGTAAAATGAGTGGATGAATGTTTGGCAAAATTTATCAGCTCGATGGAAGTATTATCTATCAGTCTGAAGATATTTAGGAGAGATACAGACCTATGAAAAAGTTTACATTAAAACAAGTAACATGGACATTCACTGTAATTGCAACTATGTAAATATATGTATCATGTTAAGTAGATATATATTATGTAAGGTATATTATTACATAATTATTACAGATAATTCATATAAATATATGACTTACTCTATATAAATTATACATTATGTATGCATAAAAGACTACAGGGGAATAGTAAAAAATGAAATAATATGTGGATTGATAGAATAAGAAATACCTTATTTCTCATCCTTAAAAATTCATTTACTACTACTGAGTTTTCACATACATAAAGATGAATAAAGAAGTATATGACAAGTGCCTGCTATAAAGGCAACTGTCTAGTGGAGTAACATTTCTTTTGTGCATTATTAAAATTAATCATTTCTAACAGCTTCAAATCAGTGTTACAGTGTTGTAACTTTGTGTTGATAATCATACCACTTTTCCTGCATAGATTATAGATCAAATAACTCCAGAAAATTTAGTAGAGTGGACTAACCCGGGGCATATGGAAGAAAGGAACGTGGCCTTGCACTTACCGCGGTTTGAAGTGGAAGATGGGTACGATCTGGAGGCCCTGGAGGCCGTCTTGGCAGCCATGGGGCCGGCAGACGCTTTCAGCGAGTACAGAACGGACTCTCTGGGGCTGTCCTCACACTCCGGGCTGCAGGCGAAGAAGTTCCTGCACAGGGCCTTTGTGGCGGTCACCGAGGAAGGGACTGAGGCCGCAGCAGGCACCGGTGTGGGCTTTGCTCTCACACTGGCGCCGGGTTATGAACATTTTCATTGCAATCACCCTTTCCTGTTCTTCGTCAGGCACAATGAGTCCAACAGCATCCTCTTCTTCGGTAGATTCTCTTCTCCTTAGGACAGTCATGGCCTTGGCGGAAAACCAGTGTTAGAGTATCAGTTAAGACTACGGACATAGCCCATTCTTTAAGAAAAATTGTCTTACTTGCTTGCATTCCAATCTTACCATCAAAATCAATGACCCGGTGACTGTAACAGGGTGTGTGTGTTTATAATTCTCCTTAAAGCTGAAACGTCCTTTTGTTTGTGCTCGGTAAAAACCAAGTTAAATCGAGGCTCGGTAATAATCTGTTGATTTCTTCTGGAAGTAAATCAACCTCTTGTGGTTTTGTGTACTAATGGCGAGAAACAGACTCTTCAGAAAAGACACAGACTAGTGATTCTGGGAGTCCCTCTAGTTCCAATAGTTTGACGTAATACACAAATAAAACAGTAATTTAAAATTTTTTTTTTAACGTTTATTTTTGAGACAGAGAGGCAGAGCATGAATGGGGGAGGTTTTTTTTTTTTTTAACGTTTGTTTATTTTTGAGAGAGAGAGAGAGAGAGAGCATGAATGGGGTAGAGTCAGAGAGGGAGGGAGACACAGAATCTGAAACAGACTCCAGGCTCCAAGCTGTTAGCACAGAGCCCCAAGCAGGGCTGGAACTCATGGACCGCGAGATCATGACCTGAGCTAGTTGGAAGCTCAACTGAGCCACTCAGGCGCCCCTAAATAAAACAGTAATTTACTCGATTCATGTGTTACTTTTTTCTTTCTCGGCAAGTGTAGCAAAGTGCATAGAAGAAAGAGGATTTAGAAGCACGTCAGCAAAACATAAATTCAGGCTTAAAGCCAGGAAAAAATAAAACAATGTATCAGACAAAGGGTTCCCATATTTTCATCTTCTCTTCTAACGGAGCATATTATCTGTTGTCAGTTGTGTAAGCCTTTTGATACTGTGAAATAAAGGCGATTTGGAGAAGATAAATATTGTAGCCAATCAATTTTTTTTAACAGCTCTATTGAACTGTAATTTACCTACCATAAAATCCACGCTTTGGAAATTTATGGTTCAATGATTTTTGGTAGATTTCTATAGTTGTGCATCTGTTACCACAATCCAGTTTTGGAACATATCCATCATCCTACAATGTTTCCCTGATGCTTGTTTCCATCCCCAATCCCAGGCAACTATTGATTTGTTTTCCGTATTTGTAAAATTTTCTTTGATATTTCATATAAATGAAATTGTTAAATATGTAGGTTTTTTTTTTTTTGGCATCTGACTTCTTAGCATAATATTTTCAAGGTTCCTCCAAGTTACAGCATAAATCAATACTTCATTCTTTTTATGGCTGAGTAATATTGTTATGTGGATATTTCAGATTTTGTTTATCCATTCATCAACTGATGAACATTTATATTGTTTCTGCTTTTTGGCTATTGTGAATAGCACAGCTATGAACATTTTGTATACAAGTTTTGTGTGGACACATATTTCCATTTCTCTTGGGTACATACCTAGAAATGGGATTAGTGCCTTTGTGTTTGTCATTTTGAGGAACTGCCAAATTGTTTTCCAGAGGGGCTGCAACCATTTTACAATCTCATAGCAATGTAGGAGGGTACCAATTTCTACTCCTCTTTGCCAATACTTGTTACAGCCAGTCTTTTTGATTTTAGCTGTTCTAGTGATTGTGAAGCAGTATCTGACAGTTTTATGGCGTCTTTTGAAGCGCAGAGTCTAATGTAGCAATATTATCTTTGAAGGATAATGTTTTTGGTGTATCTAGGAAACTCTTTCCCTAATCCAAGTTTACAAAGATTTTCTCCTGTTTTCTTCTAGAAGTTTTACAGTTTTAACTCTTCCGTTTAAATCCATGGTCCATTTCTGCGTGTGTGTGTGTGTGTGTGTGTGTGTGTGTGTGTGTGTGTCTGTGTCGTGAGGTAAGGTTTAGGTTATGATTTTTTTTTTGTATACAGATGTATCATTATCCACAGCATCATTTATCAAAAAGACAATTCTTTCTTCACTGAATTGTCTGGGTACCTTTATCGAAATCAATTAACCATAAATATAAGGTTTTATTTCTGGTGTCTCAATTTTGTTCTGTTGATTTATATGCTTACTGATATGACCATACTACATTGTCTTGATTACTATAACTTTGTAGTAAATTTTGAAATCAGTGAGTGTAATTACTTTGTTCTTTTTCAGAATCCTTTTTGGTTAGACTAGGTCTTGTGCATTTTCATGTAAAATTTAGAATCAGTTTGTCAATTTATTTAAAAAGCCTACTGGAATTTTGATAGGAATGGCATTAAATCTATGGACCAATTTGTTCAATACTGAATTTTCTAATCCATGAATATCAAATGTCTCTCCATTTACTTAGTAATTTCATTTCTTTCAGCAATATTTTATAGATTTAAGTGTACAAATCCTTTTTTCATTGAATTTATTTTGACAATTTTTGATGCTATGGTGAATGGAATCATTTTAATTTGGATATCAAGTCATTAGGTTGTATGCCTTAAATATGTACACATTTATTACACATAAAATAAGAATAAAAAGAAGCATGAAATAAGATGTTTAAAGGAATTTAAAAAGGAATTTAAAAGGAGTGTTAATGGGCATTTTGTTGAGTGATATTTTTTCTTTTTTAATATTTATTTTTGAGCGAGAGAGAGAGACAGAGAGAGAGAGAGAGAGAGCGGGTGAGGGGCAGAGAGAAAGAGAGGGAGACACAGAATCTGAAGCAGGCTCCAGGCTCTGCACTGCCGGCACAGAGCCTGTTGTCAAGCACAGAGCTTGAACCCACGAACCATGAGATTATGACCTGAGTTGAAGTCAGACACTTAACCGACTGAGCCACTCAGGCGCCCCTAAACTGAAGTTTATTTAAAAAGGCAAGGAAGCAAGGGAGGAGGTGATTCATCTGAGTTATGAGTAATAAGGCTTTAGAAAGTACAGTGGCTCAAAATGCAGGTCGGGATGTTCTGATAAGAAGACAGATATGACAGAGGTGTCACTAACCACAATGGCAGTTCAGGATCTTAACTGGTGCTTGTCCACCAGCCTCAGTGATAGAGCCTCCTCACTCCACATATCCTTGACCAAGCGTCCAGGATCTCTTTTTTTGGTTTCACAAATGTCCTCAATGGAGCTGGGCATGTCTACAAGTGGATAGCCTTGGGACAAAAAGCCAAGTGACCCAGTTGAGCAACATCCTATTTGGCAAACAGCAGAGGAGCTGCTGGTGAAGCCCTTTCTGGTGCCAATCTGGGTGAGGTTGCTAACCATTAGTACGAAGTAACCACAGTACTAAAGGCCCTTGAAAGGTGACATGTTCTGGGCTTAGCCAATCATTGTTAACTCATCTTCCAGCCACAGTAATCTGCGTAAAGGGTGGGAATGTGGTCTGGGACTTCACATAAAGATGGGAGGAGAGAAGCTCTCTTGAGGGTTACTAGCTGGAAGATAATCTAGGTATTAGCTGAAGTCAAACACTAGTCTTCTCGTGACATAGGAAGCTTTCCTTTATATAGTAGAAGATGAGATCAATACTGAAAACAAGTGATCTGAAAAAAGGAGACATCTATCATGTATCTACCTGCCTACCTACCTATTTACCTACCCACTACCTACTTGTCATGCATCTATGGAGAGAGAACTTGATACACTGTTTTCACCACTCCACCAAAAAAGCAAAACAAAACAAAAAACCCCTGGGTTTTGTTACTCGGTGCCTGAAGAATCCTGAAGAATATATAGCTCCCTTAGACAAAAGCTTGAAAGATAGCAGGGAAGTTGGGACCCACGTTTTTGGGGATGCCTGAACTCCTAGTTGTTTTGAGGGATTGATTAAAAATATTTTCATCTGCTGCAGATATTGGGAGTGCCAATGGCACAGCCGATATGCTGTAAGAGAAGAGGAATTTCTCAAGAAAACTCTCAGAGTTTAATCTTAAAAAAGATTCCACTTAATTGTTTTGCAAGTCAATCTTTTGCTTCTTGTTCTCAGAATGAATTGGATAATTCACATCTGCTTGAAAATAGATAGGTTGGCTAAGATCTCATTGGAAATATAATCGCAGTAGATCAAACTCTATGCATAGGAACGTGTTTACAGGGCGCCTGGGTGGCTCAGTTGGCTAAGTGCCAACTTCAGCTCAGGTCAAGATCTCTCAGTTCTGGGTTCAAGCCTTGCGTTGGGCTTCTGTGCTGACAGCTCAAGCCTGGAGCCTGCTTTGGATTCTGTGTCTCCCTCTCTCTGTCCCTCCCCTGCTCATGCTCTGTCTCTCTGTCTCACTCTCTCTTTCAAAAATAAATAAACATTAAAAAAGAAAGAATGTGTTTACAAATAAACACAAGCTCATCAGAATGAGCTCGGAGCTCTATGCACAGGGAAAAAGACACGTGAGATGACTGGGGTTTCAAATATTCTCTTATGCAAGGCATTTCAGGACACTGTCATTTGGGCTTTCATGGTGGTGGACTGTGTTCGCACTAGTATTTGGGTCAAATGTAAACTACTGCGTATGTTACATTCTTTGGAAGCGACCTGCTTTTCAGGGAAGAGCAGAATGGCTGAAGGAGTGGGTTGATGTTGTGGATGCGTGGACTATGGGGAATCTAATGGGAAGATGCTTCTGAATGAAGACTCAGGAGTCCAATTACCCGAATTTGATTCCTGCCTCCAGCACTGACTGACTGTGCGACTTCCAGGAAGCCATGTAACCATTTCTATTGCAGTTTCCTCATCTGTAACATCGGGAGATAACTCAATAAGATAATGCCCTGTCTGGTCATCGCAGAGGTTAAATAAGACTATTTCTACACAGTACTTAAGAAAATGCCTGGCACTTACATGGTCAATAAATGTAAGCTGCTGCTTCCTCCTCCTCGTGTTTCTCTTTCTCTTTCTTTTCCTCTTCTCTCCCTCCTCCTCCTGCTTCCTTGTTATTGTTCCTCATTGCTCCTCAATCCTCTATGCTGCTACTGTTCATAGTCATCGAATACAGTGATTCTATCAGTTTGTGTCCCAGGAGGCACAAGATGGCACATTCCAT